GCCATGATTTCCTTCTTTTGGTCCCTCTTTGAATAGAATGCATTTTGTTCATCGCTTGGACAAAGTGACTCATGGATTTGGATTTGGAGAATTCAGTTCCACCTCTACATATATATGACTAACAAGAACCTAGGTGGGGGAAACCATCACGGGTATACTGACTCAATAAACGTGTGATTTTGTCACATTTTACAGGTCCAGCATAATGGGTCTCTTGATTTCCAGTTTGAAGATGAATCATGCTGAGCAGAGTAGCTTCCATGGCCCACTACCTCTCTTTCCTTAGTCCAGTGGAGTATACACACACTGTTTTATATCAGCTGTGCAATGCTAAAATATGTTCTGTACAGTGTATGCCTGAAATCACTCTTGGCTGCAGTATACATTCCAGATTACGCATCTCCTCTCAGGCCCTGCACTCCTCCGTATGTCTAACTTGTGTTTTACTGCTTCCTCAAGTACAAGGTGCTTCTGCTTTGTGTCTGACCAGTACAGCCTCTTAGCTCCTAGGAGAGGTCCATTGTTTTGTCATTTGTCCTGTGATTGTCTCAGTATGGTTACTCATCCAACAACAGATGTCTCAATGAGAAAAGTGTGTGGTGAGAAATGTGCTTATTAGTCTTATGTTTGCTGAGCTGCTTTACCACCACAACCTTTCTCACTGCCTAAAAGACATTAACTGCAAACATTGTTCCCTTTGCACTGGAAAATAAAGGAGTGAACCTGAGTATTCGATGACAGTAAACTTAAAGCTGTATTAAACCCAAAAAGCAAACAAGTATTATATTGCAACTTACCAGTTCGTAGATGTGATGGCTGAAATAGTTTTCTTTTTTAGGTTTTCTTTCTTCTATTTTCATCTGGCGATTTGGTCAGTAAGTGTTTTTTTTTTTTTTTTTTAACTCTCTTGCAGATGTAGCAGTTAAAGGGATGAGACAAACCATTTACTACTGACAGGAGTGCTTGCATTGATCAGCTTTTATTTATTTATTTATGTAAAACCTTTATCCCAAAAAGAAAAAAAAAATGCTGTAACTGCTTAGAATGTATGAGCTGGAGTTTGGTTTCAATTTGTTAGTGTGCCTAAATCTGCTAGGACATATAACACTCCTCTCCCCCAGACTGACAATGGTGCTGTCCAAAGGTGCCCCTGTGCTCCTTCATCCAGAGTAGGGGCACTGTAATACAGGAGGTATGTTTCAGGCCAGATCACCAGGTGAAAAGCCTAAAAAAAGAAAATTAATGGAGCTACCACATCTACTGATTGGTAAGCTGCAATATATTGCATTTTTGGATTTCGGTTTAATACCACTTTAATTATGATTGATTATTATAATTTATTGCACTTTGCAAATTGCTTCCCTTACTAAAATGTATTGTTCTTTGCAAATTTCTTTAAAAAAAGCCTTTCAAACCCTCAAGTGCATGAGGTGACTGCAGCCATATAAGTGACCTTGCAACGGATGTACTGTCCGTGATATTTTTTTCTTTGCACTAACAAATAAAATTTCAGGACATACCCTGGTGGGGGGGGGGGGGGGGGGGTTGGGGGAGTTGTGGGCTGGGGGTTACCTTTTTCTTGGTCCAACCGAGGGAACGGAACACTCCGAATGCTTGTCTTGAAAATTTAAATGCTAGTTCAAACACTAAGTACTGTATCTAAACCCAAATTTTTTTAATGTGAAAAAGTACTAAAGGTTTTTTGTCATCTGTTTCTCATTTGGGAGATTTCCATTCACTTCCTGCCCTGTAGACTCAATGATAAGTAAAAGGAAATCGCTCCAAGGTGAAAGAAATTCTTTTATAGACAACTGTCACTGCAACAAGTGTCCCTGTTGGTGACATCTGAAAAAAATGTAGATTTCCCCATCACAATAGCAGCACATTTTTGCACCTCAATGCCCCAAAAATTTGATCTGGCATTTTTTGAGCATGTCACATTGCACACTGAAGAAGTTGGAGTACAATAACCCCAGTATTGATGTCAGTGGATGCAATAACAAGCCCCAGAATTGCTGTGAGTGCAATAATAGCCCCAGCACTTGTGTCAGTACTATTAACCCCCCCCCCCATTCACACACATTGGTAGTCACTGGCAGTGAAATTTAATTACCTTGCAATTGAGGTCATTGGCAATGGACTTTAACCCCCCAGTACATTGGTGGTCAGTGGCAGTTAAAGTAAACCCCCATCCCCCCTGCATTGGTGGTCACTGACAATGAAATTTATCAACCCCCTGAATTGGTGGTCAGTGGCTGTACAATATAACCCTCCCTCTATTGGTGGTCTATGGCAGTGAAAGCTAACCCTCCTCCCCTCGCATATTGGGCACCGGGGTTTTAAACACTTACCACTCTGTCCAAAACATTAACAAATCTTTGTGTATAACTGACATAATAAATGATCAAGTCATTGGTTATGTGGAACTCAGTTATTTCAGCACAAACACCAGTAGCCAAAGCTGCATGCTTATTTTAAGATTGTGACTCACAAGGCAGAGAAGTCAGGGTGAAGATGGCAGCTCCAAAAGCCTGTCTTTAAACACTAACTCTTCACTACTTAATCTCATCTTCTATCCTCCCAGACTCACATTCTTATGTACTGTGTAAAAAACAGATTCAGACTAGGGTCATTGGTTCGAATCCCAACCACGGCACCACCTGCCTGGAGTTTGCATGTTCTCCCTGTGCCTGTGTGGGTTTCCTCCGGGTACTCCAGTTTCCTCCCACACTCCAAAGACATGCTGGTAGGTTAATTGGATCCTGTCTAAAAATTTACCCTAGTTTGTATATGTATGAATGTGAGTTAGGGAATGATGTGAATGTACAATATATATGTAAAAGCACTCTGTAAATTGATGGTGCTATATAAGTAGTGCTGTACCTATTGTATTCTGGAAGCTGCTGCTGCTGGCTGACAGAATACCCAAGCAGTGACTGCATGTGAATGGATGCCACTATTGTTTGGCCAAAAAATTTTCCATCCACCTCCTTCAAATTTTCAGTCAAAGGATGTCAAGTGGGAATGTAGCAATAGGGCTACCCAGGGAAGCAAATGTTTGTTAACCTGGCCGAAATTCGTATTGTGTATGGCCAGCCTTACATATTTAAACAGGGCACCTACTGAGGTGACACTAATGAAAGCAGCGAGGAAGCTAAGGAATGGTGAGTATATGCTGCTGGGGAGCTCAGCAATAAACTGAACCAGTGCCTTGCACTACAGTCAATAAACATTTGACTAGGTGCTGTTGGAATCACTGAATATAACCAGTTATCACTGATATTTACTTATTTTTGGGATACAAACTGAAATTCAAACAAGGATCTGACACCTTGAGAAATGCTTTGTCTGTTTACCTTCTCCAATACATTGCACTAATAGCACAGCTTACACATAACAAAAAAGGGGAGTAGGGTGTTGCATAATGGAAGAATACCTTTTTTATGGATTTAGACCTGTTCAGCTATAGCAGGTTGCAAAAGCTGTGTCCACACATGGCCCTCACCATAAGTAGTTTTGTTTTGAAAAAAAAATCTAAAATTGCATTGAGGTTATTTAGCCAGTGTAGGATACAAACAGTGCTTGCCAGAGTTCTTGCCGAGGGTTGTTCTAAAAAAAAACCAAAAAAACTTTTTTGCTTAATTTTGAAAATGAGTTCTTCATAGAGAAGCTGTGTTATAGAGTGCTGCAGTTTATAAAAATGGATATAGAGCAATTTTGTTGAACTGCTAAAACCATTATATGGAGGATTTAGCATATTTGTCAACATATGGAAAGAGTAATCTTAGTAATTAAAACAATACTAAATTCCTGAGTAAATGCAATTAAGATCATGGATTATTCTGGGGTTTTTATTGGCATGTTATATCAAGGATTAGAGGTTTCTGAGAAATAACAATTCCATACCACATACCCATCTTTGAGATGCAATGGAGGAGATTTACTAAAGCTGGTTTACACAGAATCTGGTGCAGCTGTGCATAGTAGCCAATCAACTTCTAACCTCAGCTTGTTCAATTAAACTTTGTAAATAAAACCTGGAAGCTGATTGGTTTTTATGCAGAAGTGAACTTGATTTTGCACTCTCCAGCTTTAGTAAATTAACCCCAATATGTCATTTTAGGTTACCTTAAAGTGAGATACCAGTTTTAGTTAAAAAAAACTATTACAATTGCATATACTTTAGCAAACTTTATTTTACATTCATATTTGCTTCTGTTCAGTTTGTATTCCAATAAAATGCTAAAGAGCATTTCTGCAAAGAGGACGGTGTCAGTGCAATGACTGAGTACCAGTGTAGCAAAGCAACCAGTTTGTTGATCTTGGTGATGACCATAGCACAGGTAGAGGTAGAAGACCTCTCTGCAGCAACTCCTGACAGATGTCCGTAAAATAAGAAGCATTTTTAAAAACTGCTATTCTGCTGGGGAGAAGTTTAATAAGAGCATTAAAACACTCTATAAAAGTGAAATAAGTATGCTTGATGATTTATAAATGCCAGTGGTGATCCTTTAATTAGATCCAGAGATACAAAAGGAAGCCTTTTATCTTTTTCCAAAATAATTGCTGTGCAAATAAGGCTGACTTTTAGTAAAGTCACTTTAAGTTCTTTCAGTTGTGGGTTTCAGTTTACAACTTCCAGACTATGTAACAATTATTTGAAGATGGGAAACAAATAACTGTGTCCCAATAAAAAAATCCAAGAATTTCAAGAAAAAATTAATGATTTTTACCCATTATTTGGTGTATCAGCTATAATGGTGTGTAGAGGTGTAAGCAGACTGGAAATATCCTTGTAGGTTAAGCATATTGAAGTGTAGTATATAGTGTAGTAGTGTATTTCCACTTTTGCACCCAAACTGGGATAAAACCTACTGTATGTTTGTAACATGTTCCCATTCACATAGCATAACTTTAACCACCTTCTGCCCGCCCTATAGTACAATGATGGGTGCAAGGTGGTTCTCTCGTTCTGATAGGACGTCATATGACGTCCTACCATTCTCACTGCGCATGCGCGGCTCAGGGAACACGCTGCGCGGTGATCGCCGGTGCGCTGTGTCCCTCGGACATAACGGATCACGGAAAGAGCCGAAGATGTCGGGGTTGGTCATGTGATCAGCTGTGTCCAATCACAGCTGATCACATGTAAACACGGAAATGCCGGTTATCGGCATTTCTCTCCTCTCGAGCTGTCAAGCTGACAGCTCGAGAGGAGAGGAGAGCCGGTAATCGGCTTTCTGTGGAGGGGACATGTACACTGATCATCAGGGCACTGATGATCAGTATGCCCTGATGATCAGTGTGGCCCCAGAAGTGCCACCTGTCAGTGATCATCAGTGCCACGTGCCAGTGCCCATCAGTGCCACGTGCCAGTGCCCATCAGTGCCACATCAATGCCACATATCAGTGCATACCAGTGCACATCAATGCCACATATCAGTGCCCATCTGAGCTGCCTTTCAATGTCACCCATCAGTGCCAGTCAGTGCCACCTATCAATGCCAATCAGTGCCACCTATCAGTGCTGCCAATCAGTGCCACCTATCAGTGCCAGTCAGTGCCGCCTATCAGTGCGCATCAGTGCCAGTCAGTGCTGCCTATCAGTGCCAGACAGTGCCACCTAACAGTGCCAGTCAGTGCTGCCTATCAGTGCCAAGTCAGTGCCGCCTATCAGTGACATATATCAGTGTCATGTATCAGTGTCATGTATCAGTGCTGCCTTTCAGTGCCCATCAGTGATGCCTGTCAATGCCCATCGGTGCAACCTACCAGTGCCTCCTCATCAGTCCCCATCAGTGCCACCTATCAGTGTTCATCAGTGCAGCCTATCAGTGCCCATCACTGCAGCCTCATTAGCGCACATCAGTGAAGGAGAAACATCACTTATTTACAAAATTTTATAACAAAAACTAAGAAAAAATGTTTTTTTTTTCAAAATTTTCAGTGGTTTTTGGTTTGTTTAAGAAAAAATAAAAATTCCAGAGGTGATTAAATACCACCAAAATAAAGCTCTTTCTGTCTCAAAAAAATGATAAAAATTTCATATGGGTACAGTGTTGCGTGACCGCGCAATTGTCATTCAAAGTGTGACAGCGCTGAAAGCTGGAAATTGGCCTGGGCAGGAAGGGGGTTATAAGTGCCCTGTAGGCTAGTGGTTAAATACATGTTAAAAAATGGCTGCTTACCCTTTTATATGCTCTTTTCTGAAGGCTCCATGACAGAAAATCATGATTAGTTGTCCCTTTCTATGCAATGTTTACAAGGTGGCCACAATTAAACCCGTCTGTACTGTGCTGACAGAAATCATTATCATTTTCAAACTAAATGTGTGGGACTGTCTGTTTTACCAAAGAGTAAAAAACCTGGGTGACCAATTGTATGTTATTGCACTTAAAAAAAACTGTCCCTCACTTCTGTCCTTTATCTTCACATCTATTCAAAGCAATAGAAGCTTGACTATAGTGTCTTATGTATCCCCTGCTCCATAGAAAGAACTCGAAATGTAAAAGATATTTATTAAATTATTTTTAGGCTTGCTTTGCGAATGGGAGCACTTAGCAAATATATAGTAGAGGTGTTCTCAAATTTGACTTCAAATGTGGAAATGCACTTAAATAAGAAATCAGTTAAATTCTTATGTTTCACCCCATGGCAGTATTCTAAGGCTACACTCAGATGGCTAAATTCTGTATGTGTGACTACTATTCTACAGTCAGATCCGGTTCAACACCATGTCTGGATGCAGCAACACTCTGTGCTATGGTCACATACAAACTATTTGATTACCTGTGGCTAGTTTGCGTGTGGACAAAACTCTGAAGAAACTTTTACCCTGGGTGTATATTGACTGCATCCAGGGTCAGTAATCGAATGCAACCGACCCCTTCCCGCACATAATCAGCTGTCTGAATGTAGCCTTATGGGATAACATTTGTGAAGCAGCGAATCTGGCAGTCACCAAGTATTCACTAAAGGTGAATCTTCCTGGTGCATGTTTTTTTTTTTAATAACAGTGATTGATTTACCATCAATAAATGTTTGGTGAAAGTTACATTCGCTGCTGAAGTGTAAAAATGGGCAGGGGGGGGTTATATGTACCTGCATTTGCATATGATCAGCCTTCTGCAACCCGGACTCATGGTTTATTCCACAGGGTTACGGTCACTTAAAGTGGTAGTAAACTCTCATTTCTAATTTTACCTACAGGTAAGCTTACTGGTAGGTAAAATGAATATCTCCTAAACTTGCACCATTTAGGAGATATTCTCCAGAGCTGCAACTGGTGACATAATCGGCGCATGTGTCCTGAAGGAACAGCATACCCGTGCCGTTCCTTCAGAGCTGTGTGCTGTGGCTGAAACCCCCGCGCACATGCACACGAGTGACATTATCGGCGGCTCAGCCATTCAAGTAGCTGCAGCCCGGGAACCTGGAAAGAAGAACAGGTAAAGCCCTGTCAATGGTGACAGCACACCACTGGAGGGCTTCGTTTTAAGGTAAATTTCACATAATGCACTAGTGTACAATGCATACTAGCACATTATGATATTACTTTGTATGGGGAAACTTTTTTTTTTTTCGAACAAGTTTACTACCACTTCAAGCTTTGCTGAGTGAAGTGGAGAGTATTGTAAGTGTGCATGGGCATTGGTTTCAACTCCAAACAGCAGGCCACAGAGTATATCCCACAAAGTTTTTTTACTTCTGAATTAATTTTATAAATATTAGAAGTGTACTTGAAAAGTGTATTATAAATTCAGCCTAGGAGGCTACAGTTATCACTAAAATGTTGCTTTTGGATGAACTGGCCATTAAATATAGAGTGAGTAAGTGTTCATGTACTAAAATAAAATTGTTAGCAGTAAGAAAGTGTAGGCACCAAAAGCAATATGCACATACCTGTAGCAGCTTTAATTCCCCCTCTACACCTGAAACCAAGGACATTCTGATTGGCAAAGCTCCAATACTTTCCAGTAGTGTTAGGGCTTGCCTGCTACATCTTTTCACCATACATTCCTGTTGACTAATCACTGTGATGGGCTGCCTACTTTGCCAAGAGGAATGTGTGAAGGAAAGGCAAGCTCTATCATTTTTAGTGCATGCCCACATTTTGCCTGGTCACAACAGTCCAGGATGTGATTTTACAGCAGTCAATGAAAGATGCTACAAGTATGTGCAGGTCAGAAATCCTTTTGGGCATAGTTATTTGTATACATTTTCCAGGGAGCTTCCCTACCAGTTTCTAAAACCCCAGGGGGTTGATTTACTAATGGCAAATAGACTGTTCATTTTTCAAGGGATTTTTCGGCACAGTGCCTTAGTGGTTAGCACTTCCGCCTGGCAGTACTAGGGTCGTTGGTTTGAATCCCAACCACGGCACCACCTGAGTAAACATGTATATAATAGGAAGCTGGTAGCTAAATCTTCCACAATGAATAAGTTTATTGATCCAGATGCAGTACCAAATAATACAGGGCTTACGCGTTTCGGCATGTAGCCTTAATCATAGCCTAGGCTTATATTTAAGCTCTGGGGAATATCCTCTTGCAAAGCAAAAAGTCTATGTTCCTTTAGTGAATCAACTCTCAAGAATTGTTATAACTAACATTTGTATTAGAGATGACTCTTATATAATTGCATCTTAGATAGCAGATATATACTAGTAGCTTTACAAACGTCCTCTACTATAGAGGAGAGAAAGGACAAAAGCTTTAGATGAAAATCTTTGAGGCGCCATCAGAAAGGTAAAAGCAGCACCACCACTTTTAAACAAGAAATAATGACACCAAGTGTTAAACACCTCTTCATTCTTTATTAGACAATCTTTGTATCCTCTCCCTTCTTAAAAAAAATAAAAACACACCAAAGACAAGAAAAGCCCCGCTTCCAAATTTATAACAAAATTTCCCAACCCCAAAGTTTATAAACACAAATAACAATAAGATCCAAAAAATATTGTATTCTTCTGCTCAGACTGCAATAATTGCAGCTTAAGTGGTAAAACCTAAAGCTTTTAACCCATGTGTAGCCAGAGGGGCCTGGAAAACCCTGCTTTGCAAAATTTTACAGGCTCCTGATAGCGGAGAAAAGGGTTAGTATCTGTCACTTCCCGAGGGACCTGCTGCTCAAGAAATCATGACACAAGTACCTGCAGTGTCCTCGTTTTAAATTGAATGTGGGGTTTAACATTAGAGCTATATTAGTAGCTGTTACATACATGGACTCACAGTTAGTTGTCAGAGGTGCTGGATGTAATGAAAAGCTGTATGGAAGATAAGGCATTACAAATCTACTGGATAGTGGAAATATAAGAAGGGAGGTCTGGGATGAAGCAGGTGTTACTGAGAAGATCAGCATCTCTCTGGGATAGATTCTAGTGCTGGGACCTCTGACACTAAAAACATAACCAGACAAGCACCAACTGCTAGTGTATAGGAGTCCAAAGTGCCAAGAAACCCTTTCAGAACTGTAGTGAACAGAACAGCAGTGCCCTTCAGGCTGTACATGTGGGCTTGTGTCACTTGGGATTGCTACAGGAATGAAATGGCTAATTCTCGTCTTGGCATAACCTGCAGCAAGTCCACAGAAGAAATAGCACCATATTGATTAACCTTGTAAGCCTCCCTTCCTCATGTTGAGGGGTGGCTAGCAAGGGGAGAGGGTGAGAGGAAGGGCAGTGCATCCTGGGTTGTCTCCTATTGAGTGGTAAGAGTTGGGCTCTATTATGTTCCGATTGCTGAGACCACTCCGGGATTCAGAGGTGCTGTGGAGGAAACATGGGAAAGAAAGTCACTTTATTTGTAGAAAGTTTAGCATTAAAATATAAACTGAGAGTTTTGAACAATTGTTGGTGTGAGCTAAATATAACCAATTTAAAGTGTATCTAAAGTCATGAGTTCTATTTTTAACTTTTGATAAAGTAAGGAAGGGTTAGAGCCCATGTTAGGCTTTTATTGATGTCTATGTCACCTCTGGGGAAATTCACCATTTGCATTTGTCCTGGTGACCACCAGCACTGAGCCCTGGTTCACACATGTGCATTGTAAAATCACTTAGGATTTTATCTGAACACCAATGCGTTTTACTTCCCATGGAACTCTAGGGACTGATTCATACAATTTGCACTGTCACAAACTTCAAATCGCACTGCATTTCAGCAGCATCTATATGAACACCTTTCATAGGAACACAGTATATTTCTCTGGTTATGTGAATTTGGACTCAAAATCGCAAAGTAAATCTTAAAATGCACATGTGTAAACCAGGGTTAAATGTAATGGGAAATACAAATTTTAACAGTTGTCACCTTAAAAGGAACATTTTCAGATGGGGCCATTTGTTCTGGTGTCAAGTGCTTAAAAGGGAAATTACCTTACTTTGGAAAAATTGTGTCTGTTGGCTGTCCAGGACATTAAGTGAAAGGGAATATCAGCAGTGGGACAGAGGTGGCAAAAAACCTGACAGGAATTCAACCAATCTTTACTATTGCATTGAATGAAAAGCTATATATGAGTGGAGGAGGCAGCTTTTTCATTCATTGAGCAAAGTCAGCACTCTTGAACAAGTGCCTATGACAGGTTCCTCAGCTCTGTAAACCCCCATGACACCAAAAGATTATGGCGGTGGGGTGGGGGGGATCAGAAGATGGAAGACTTCAACTAAATCCAGAGCCAGAAGCACAAGAGACACCGTGACTGTAAGTAATGTCCCTTGTGCTAATTTAAAACATTTTTTGACTAAACGTAAACTAAAACAGTACTATTTAGGCTTAATAGATTGGATTTCTAGGATATGTTATAGAATCCAAAATACTAAGTGCAATTTTAAATGGCTTCACCTGATACAACATAAGATATTGTATTGGTATTGTACTGCCCTCACATTGTAAAGCGCTGAGCAAACTGTTGACGATATATAAATCCTGTATAATAATAATATCATACATGTTTTTCTGTAGATTTAATATGCTACATTTCAGTAACTAGCTTAAGCAGATTCTTGTACTTCAATGTCTTCAGTGTCTTGATGTTTCAAAATTCTATTCTTTTTTTTGCTATACCCATATGGTGAATAACCACATTATTATTATTATTATTATTATTATTACAGGATTTTTATAGTGCCAACAGTTAGCGCAGCTTTTTACAAAATGAAGGTAGACATTACAGTTACAATACAATTTGTTACAAGAGGAAACAGAGGGCCCTGCTCGTTAGAGCTTACAATCTAGGAGGCCATATTAAAGTAGAACTATAGGTAAACCTTTTTTTTCATTTTGAATAGAGTAAGGTAGGATTATAACCCCTGTTGTGTTTTTTTTTTTTTTTTTAAATTTGCCATCTGTGTCCCATTGGGAAGGTATACCGTCACTCCTTGTTCCTTTAGCCAACACAGGAAGGGAGAGGAAATCCCTGCAAATTAAGGGTATCAACTGGAGTCTTCCAGATCTCCAGAACTAGTGTCACCATTGGAGATTTCTCCTCTATTACAGGGGATAACCCAAAATTTGGGATTTTATTTTACTTTCACCTTTGATGATAATGGTAAACTAGACAAATAGAAAGGATGAATCTCCCTAGCAGAAGCACAGACAGCAATAACAATCTAACAGATGTCCTAAATCCCTCTCCACTCTATCCAAAATTGAAAAAAAAAAGTTTTGCTTTTAGTTACACTTTAAATGCCCAAGTTACAATTCAAACATGCCTTTTCCCTGTATTCTCCCCTTAACACACCAGTTTCTTTCTCTGTACTCCTTTTCATCTAGTAGAAATTAGTCCCATAACTTTTTTTATAGCATAACTAAATATATTTTAAATTGACACTGACTATATCTGCTCCCCCCTAAACATGTTCTCCATAATTCTTATCTGCATGTTTTAATTACTCACCTGTAATACAAATCTTTTCACATTCTTTCTGTGTGCTGAACCTGTTCTCATTTCCTCCACAGCCACCGTACCAGAATCTGGCGCAGCTCTTGGTTTCCGTATCATAGTACCATTGTAAGATAAACTCCCTGCAGGTGCCTTCCTCCTTCTGCAGCTTACATGCCTCTGGTCCCACTGAGCAAAAGGAACAATGATTTAGGAAGAAGAAGCCAATGATTTTAGAAAATATACATGTAATCCACACAATTATTATTGTACCTGGTAAGTCAAGTCTTTTGTAGGTCTGGCTGTGCATATTACACTGCTAAACTTTTTAAAATACTTTATATTTTCTTTTTTTTGAACTTTACATTTTCTGTAACTGGCCTAAGCTATGTGTTTAATGTATACAGTATGTAAACCCTTGTTTTCTGAAACTACCCATTCAGTTAAAAATAGAAATGAAAGGTAAGACATTACTGTATAGATATAAAAACATTTTAAATACTTTTTTTTCTCCTGTTATATAAGTGACCACATACCCTCTGTTCTCAGCTGCATAAGGAGCTCAGGGAGCATTAACAGCAGCACATCTGTCTTCCCAGTGAATAGCTGTGCAGAGGGGTGGGATCGTGTCAGGACAAGTTTGATAATTGAAGGGAGCCAGAAAACTAACCACGCTGTGCTCTCATGCCTAACATGGTCAGTTTTAATAGCAAAGCAGAGGAACTGGCAGGAACACTAGGTATTTCACACAAAGGAAGCAATACAATCAGAACAGGATAGGATAGTTTTTATACAAGTACATGGTACAGCAGGCACATATCAGAATGTCTTTGGAGTGTAGGAGGAAACCGGAGTACCCGGAGGAAACCTATGCAGGCACAGGGAGAACATGCAAACTCCAGGTAGGTGGTGCAGCGGCTGGACCAACGACCCTAGTACTGCCAGGCGGAAGTGCTAACCATTTAGCCACTGTGCTGCCCTGCATTCACTATATCTGGTCTCCCACAGTACACAGGACATGGAAATGCAATTATTTTAGTAAATATAAACTTCTAAATACCTTTTATCAGCAGTATATAGCAGTCTTGTGTGCACTGGTTAATCTTGTAGGAGGAGTTTTAATTCTCCTCTGACTGTCTTATGAGGCTGACCCTCTGTCCGGACAGCACTGATTGACCCTGTGCTGATTGCATGTACCCTCCCCCCCCAAAAAAAAATATCTAGCAATACACACCAAACTGAGCATGTGCAGAGTGCCTCCTAGGGCTCTGTACTATCAGCAGATGGATTGGGGACACAGTAAATGGAGGGGAGGATCATAGAAGACAGGATCAAACAGTTTTTTTACACAATACGGAGGATTAACTCCTTAGGTTCCACAGTGAGTATAACAAGCATACTTTACTGCATATAAATAAATATTTTACTGTTTCTGTTGGAGGTTTAGTAGTACTTTAACCGCTTTCCCGCCACCCTATTGTAGATATACTGCTGATTTTGGATTTCCGGGTAGGGGGCATGCTCACCCTACCCGCGCCGACATTCGTGGACGCAGCTGTCAATAACCGGGTCCGGGCCGGTGATTACCCGCCGGCGCCTGGTGATTACCAAGCATTTCTGACAGGGAAGAGGACTGTTTTGTTTATTAACAGTCCTCCTCCCTGTCAGCTCAGGCACAGTGCTCTGGTTGTCTGTGACGCACACAGACATCACCCCCCAGTAAAATACTCCCTGCACACCATTACTAGTAAAAAAAAAAATTCCAGTATCTCTACTGCCATTTGTAAATGCTATACCTTTCACGTAAACCAATTAATTTACACGTATTGGGATTTTTTTTTAGCAAAAACATGTAGCAGAATACATTTTGGGCTAAATTTATGACGAAATTTGATTTTTTAAATTTTTTTCCTGGACATGTTTAATAGAAAAAGTCCAAAATATTGTTTTTTTTTTCTCAAAATTGTCGGTCTTTTTCTTTTTTGTAGCGCAAAAAATAAAAAACCGGACAGGCGATCAAATACCATGGAAAGAAAGCTCAATTTGTGGGAAAAAAAGGATGTAAATTTAATTTGGGTGCAGTGATACATGATCATGCAATTGTCAGTTAAAGTAATGCAGTGCCATAACACAAAAAATGGCCTGGTCAGGAAGGGAGGTAAATCCTCTGGAGGGCAAGTGGTTAATGCTAGTCTGCTGGTGAAAATTCAAAGATACATAGTTAAATGGAACTGGTCACCAATAGACATACAGTATGTAATAATCCTAATTTTCACTTATAATAGTGCAGCTCTACCTGTCAGAGATTACTTAAATTTTCAATTATGTAATTGTATTCTCTTCCTGTCAGCATTAGAAGTGCCAAGCTTTAGCACCGTCTTCTGCCTAAACTCAGAGTTTATAATAATTAAAAACTTATAACAATGCTGTTTGAATTAGATTGTGTTAGAGCTCAGCCTACTCTCAGAGTTCTGCTGACACCCCCCCCCTCCCCCCCCACACCCATTCATTGGGAAGACCAGTGTCCTGCTATTTTCCTCCCCTAGCTCTTAGGCAGCTGAGAACAGAGGGTATGTGATCACTTATAAAAAAAGGGTATTTATAATTTTTTTTATATGCATTTTAAACTGAATGGGCTGCTTTACAAGGTGAGTATTTACATACTTTAAGCCATTATAAAATATAGTTTGGATAATTTGAAGTACATGCAAAAGTCCTCTCTTGTATCACACGTTAATGTAATTTATGAAATGATTTAAATCCAATCCATGTAATGCAATGAGATTACAAAGCTAAATACATATTTAAATAGTTTTTGTAAAGCGGTCACCTGACCATTTCTGAGGATAGTATGAGACAGCGAGCCCCACACGGGAGTTGGTGTCAAAACAGCACAGGGAGGGCTGCAGTATGGGCATGTCAGGCTTTGATGTCAGAGACTGATTGTGGGACTGAAAGCTCGCCGTGCTTTTGCATGGTGTCCGGCTGCTTCTTTTGAGAAATGAAATGCACATGTCTGTCATTGCCACCACAGACTTGAACCCATGGGTAGCATTGATAGATAAGAGGTTGAAGCTGCAGAGGACATAGGAGATTGGCAGGATCACCAGAAAGATTCAGTTCACTTTAAAAAAATATAGTAAAATATAGAAGCATGGTTCCTCCAGTTTAAAAAGCTCCATACAGTTGATGCAACTACTTTTTCTTTATAGCTTTACATACACTTAGTGATTTAGTACTATTTTAGAACTTCAAATAGAATGTCTTCTACTTGAAAAGTTCCGCCCCTCTATTCTTTTTTACGCCACATGTGAAAGCGTTAAAGAGAAAAGTCAGGTTTCTCACGCACTACTCGAGATCTCTTGATATGTTGCAAATGCATGTATATTGGACACGATCCACTAAATGTCAAGATGAAGCTGGCAATATATCAAATTAGAATTAAAACCATATGTACTCAGATCAGGCTGAAATGACATCAGCCCCATTTGGTGTGTTTACCATGCTGATTGGTTGCTCCGTTTCTTATTTTTTTTTCTTTTAAATCTGCGTTGAATTTATAGGCCTGCTTGTTATCTTAGCATCCTTCATGTGTATCCAAAGCCCTAAATAGGAAAACGCTATTGCAGCCACTCCCTCAGGGAATTCTGGGTAAACTCAAATGAATTGTGGCGCAGCCATCTTTATGCGTAATAAACCAAATGTATAGGTTTAATCAGACACAGATGTGTACTAATCTGGAAATGTGAAGTCATTAAGCCTTGTACTTAAGAACCATATAAAAGATAAAATTAAATCCTAAAGCCTTCATTATGGAATTCTGGGTACAACAATAGAAGGCCTGCATCTGTTGTGTATTTATAGCTGGAGGCTTATGTACGCCTCATAAGCAGCTTTTAAAAATAAAATAAAGATGGCTGTAGAAGTGTTATGGTATCCTGCAATTGCTTTCATTTTCTCCATATTTATTAACTTCTTAAACTAGTGACATTTAAGTGTCTAAACCCAAGAACAAAAAACTTAATATAGACCAGTTTACCAGTTCTTAAATGTGGGAGATGCATTATTTTTTTCTTTTTTTTAGACTTTTTTTTACCTTATTTTCCTATCCTAGGGTGATAAAACTCACTCACTGTACAATACCTAAGGAGGAGCAGTGTTGTCACCCTATGACAGGACTACAGAGTATCCCCCCTCTTCTCATTTCCTTATCATAGAGGAACATTTTCTGTAGTCCACAGAGCTGAATGAGGCAGGGATGATAACTGTGCATGGGAAGAGACTGAAGACTGCACAGGCACCGGATAGCACTGGATTTCTGGTAGGATCAACAAGGATTTTGTTTTATCAACACTTAACCTTGTACATTCACCCAGGTAAAGGGTTGTTATGCATGTCTTTAAAATACTAACATCATTTTTTTACTAGGGTATTATTTGTATACATGTATAAATATTAATGTATAGATGGGAAAAATAAAAGAGTCAAAGGTAACTGGCTGTTTCACTAATTAAATTATTGGACATATAAGTATACCTAAGTTAGATAGCTGAAGGATGAATTGTTAGGTAATTTGGGGTAATAAGTAATTAAAATGAATACTTTGTACCTTATTGTGCAATTTATTTCAATACATTATATTCTACTTCTATTAGTGTTATTATAATAATATCTAACAGAAGGGCATTTTTTTTTATTGCTTATGTCTCTAGTACAGTAGAGGAAAATAATGGACTACTAAAAATGACAAGTCTCTTTTGATCAAGACATCCCATATGCCTACAATCCGAACTTAAATTACCAAACTGCACTTAAAGGGAAACTATTCCATGTTTTCAGTGAACTCATAATTTGATTCATTATAGTTTATCTTATAGTATTTTTGACACTTCTATACGATTTCTACGCTATATTGGCAATATTGTATTATATGTGCAGATTTATAGATTTCTCCTTTATTTCTATTGCACTGCAATCTCATATTACATATGCATATGCCTGCATATGTAATTATCATTTATAGCCTCCATGACCAAATAATAGGATACGTTGATAAGATGATTTACATTAAGCTAATCACGTTTTAAACATACTATAATTTCCCTGTAAGATATTCCTTC